CTGGCGCCGGGCCAACGTGGCACCCGTATTTAAGAAATTTAAGGTGATGTCCACTTGGCCGAAAATTATCGTCCAGTTTCTCTCACCTCAGTGTCGTGCAAACTATTAGAACATATAATTTGTAAACATGAATCATCTGGAATCAAACAACATCCTAACTAAATTGAAGCACGGTTTTCGAGCTGGCTATTGGGGTACAGTCGTTTCTATGAAGTGTAGTGTAGTGACGATGTGAATAGTTTAGGGAAGTCTTTAATAGTAGCTATATTTATGAAGTGTGGTTTAATATACGGGGAAGGGAATTCTTATACAGGGTAACGTGTGAATAGTAGCTATTGAATGACAATGTGAAAAGTTTACGGGGAAGGGAACAGTCTTTAATAGTAGCTATATTTATGACGATGTGAATTATGTTGTTAACTGTTTTTATAAGTATTTTAGTTTTTGTTTACTGAGTATAAATATATGCTATCCATGTATGGAAATAAAATTATTCATCAATGTAATAATATTAATCTTGTTTTGTTTTTGGTATTCATGATTCATGACGTGTAAAAAAACCTTATGTCACTGACATATTAGATATCAAGTTCGTGCTTATATCAAATATACATGGACTGTATCAAAACAAGCAAAGACCACTTCAAAAAATCTGATACAAACACGTGTATTATAGCACAAGTTTGACTTAGAGTTACTTCCCTTGAAGGTATACAGCACGCAAAAAGTGGTGACGTTGACTAAAACGTGGTACCAAAGTGTGTTTTCCATAAGTACCTAAACGATTTTCAGAAGTACCGAAACAACTTTCAAAAGTACCGAAACGACTTTCAGAAATACCGAAACGACCGGGTACCTAAACGACCTGAATTCCTGGCTATTCATGTGCGGCCATATTGGATTTCTGATCGAACGATCTTTTCACATCTTTCGACCACGGGACCCAAATCGACATCGCAATTTTAGACTTTTCAAAAGCTTTTGACACCGTCCCATATGACAAATTATTACACAAACTTTCAAACTACGGAATTCGAGGAAATATTCTGGACTGGCTGACTTCATTTTTGTGTGACAGGGACATTCGGAATACGTCAAGGTATATTCCGGGGTGCCCCAGGGGACGGTATTGGGCCCACATCTCTTCCTCTGTCACATAAACGAACTGCTGGTTCGCGGATGACTGTTTGTTGTATCGGGAAATAAAAACGGCGAAAGACCATCAAATTCTACAGCGTGACCTTGACAATCTCCAGATATGGGCTAAAAAGTGGGGAATGAGGTTCAACGCCAAGAAATGTTATATCATGAGTATCAAACAAAAATCCAACAAATTTTACACTTTAGACGACCAAATTCTACAACAAGTTAAAGAAAATCCCTACCTTGGTTTAACAATTTCGGAAGACTTAAGTTGGACTACTCAAATTTCTAAATCGACTTCAAGGAGTAACTCTACACTCGGATTCCTCAGACGGAATCTCCAACACTGTCCGAAATCTTGCAGGAAAGTGGCATATATCGCCATGGTAAGATCGGTACTGGAATATGGATCCATCGTGTGGGATCCGTACTTAGAGAAGGATATCAACAGGATTGAAAGAACACAAAGGAGAGGTGCGAGGTTCATCACGGGCGATTATAAAACAAGGGAGGAAGGGTGTGTGACAAAAATGTTAAAAGACGTGGACCTTCCCCTACTTCAGGAGAGGAGACGAAACTCCAGATTAACTTTTTGTTATAAAGTGGTTGAGGGCTTAGTTCCATCTATAGATCCCTACAGCATATTTAAACCTATTCGGAAAGGACGACAAATTAAACCGCGGAAATATCAGGACTTCATTTCGGACAATATTGTAGAAACGCGAGCAACCAATAACAGCCGTGGACTAGACATTCCAAACTTCAAAACGCCAAAATTTAAAAACTCATACTTTATAAAAACTGCAATAGACTGGAATAGTCTAAGTGACGACGTTGTGTGTGCGTCATCAGTCAAGAGCTTCAAGACAGCTCTACAGGCCTGTTACAAAAATATCAAGACTATATACATGTATATGTGTGTCAATGGGATGCAATATGAATTCCTACATTTGTGCTGTTCTTGTCCGACTTGTCGTTCGAACTACATCCCGGTGTTGTCAGTATTGTACCATCCCATAATGTTGTTCCTTTGATCTGTTCCCACAATTACCATCGAACTTTCCAGTAATAGCTGAGACATTGATGACGAGTTCAAGGAGCCTTATATACCCTCTGTATATTTACGGCATTTTGTATAAGTCTATTATGTTTCTGTTTTATGAAATAATTTATTTGAATTTCCATTTATACAGCCAAAATCCCCTTACAGCATTTTACGTTAAATTCAAGTAATGGAGACCGGGACAAGTTCGATCCCGGCCACCAATCAAGTGGTATTTTCGGTCTTTAGCAATTAACTATTCACAATATTTTGCAGATATTAGCAGTTCATCCGATTGGACGGAACATTCTCATGAAGAAATGATGTCTAAAATTCAATTATAAAAAAAGGAGAAATGTACTTTTGGGATGGTTGAAAGAAACTTATGACCATATACTTAATTCTTTCTAATTTTGCAAAATTTTGGTAAACCGAGTTGCTACGTGCTTGTCATACGTGTAACACAATACATGTCAGCCTAATATAATCTAGACAACACGGTGAAAGTCGTGACAGTGTGTTGCGGAATATATTCTTTATAATATAAACTTTATTTATTTTTCAATAATTATGAAACAAGTTATTTTAACCTATTTTGATCACTCTTGTTGGCCCGGATGTAAGCGCGTTTGGGCGGGAGTCTTAATGTGGGAAGAAACCGGAGTACCCGGCTTGGTGAAAGGCAAGTGCGCTATCCACTGCGCTACCCGACCATATATTCTTTATGACAATTATACTGATTCCGACGTGGCCTGGACTTACCCAAGACTGTCGGTCCTAATTAACTTGCCCAGAGGCAGGGCACTATCGTCATCCAATCTCCCAACAGAAAATGTTCAATACAGTGCTTCTTCAGATAATGGGACGTGTTTGTCCTTTTGTTATTATTTTAAGAAATCTATGGAATTTCTTTTTCAATTGGTATACAAATAAACCCATACATTTCGACAACTACAATGCTGTCCAGAATGAGTGGACTTAAAAAAAACACATTCATGAGCCAAATGTGTCCTGGTCTCCCCGGAATGTAATAAGCACTGCATTTTAACATTGAACTTACAAAATGTATACGAAAACAATTACAAATACGCAAACTTAATGTTTAAAATTGAAAATCGGTATAATTACGGGACTTCTCCATGTGATTAATATTTGAAAAATATCAGAAAAAAACGTTGAATTAACTTTTGAAATTATCATTTATTGATAAAATTCAATTTGAAGTTTTCAACTTAACCAGTTTAACTTTTTACTGTTTATTCAACGCACTTTAATCCAACAGTATGGCAACTTTTTAAGTAAACCAAATTTTATTTCTCGCTAGATCCCGCGTGAATTTAACGCGAGAAAATTAACTCGTAAAAATCAACAACAAAAATGTCCGCTGTATACAACTAATTTTCTTTTGTCTTGAAATCATTGATCAGTATTTAATGAGACGTATTGAAATCATTGATCAGTATTAATGAGACGTCTTAAATTCATTGATCAGTATTTTACTATTTAATGAGACGTCTTGAAATCATCGATCAGTATTTAATGAGATAACCAAAGTGAAGTATGCTTCATGAAAATTTCTTCATTTATTGACCCAAGAAAACGAACGTTGTAGAATTAAGCTTGTTCTCGTTACGTCTGCGATATCTACAGAGATTACGCTCTTTGCGTGAGGATACCGAGGAATCTGGGCCGCTTTCGTATTCAGTATTGCGTTCTAAGCGGTCTGGACGGTATCCCCAAAGTTATGCCATCAGAGGAAAGATGATTGTTTTAAAAAATCCATTTAGTGATCTCATCTCGTGTTCTGAAGAGCTTTTAAAAAGTCATGGATCCAAACAATTGCAGTCCCACTAGCCTTTAACCCCATGAAAAAAATCATAAAAATACATGAACCGGTCAGTCCGCATAAAAGAAATGCCCTGAGATGTGTCCTCGCCCCTCCCTCCCCCCTCATTTACTTTAAGAATACGTTTGACTAGTAGACACTGACAGAAAACTAACAATTGTGTATCCGTAAAAGTAAAAAGAACAAGTAACAAGTTCGTTATTATACTGATCGCAATGACATTCCGCTATGCGTTCTGGAAAATTCGAAGAGCCACGCATTTGTAAACTTTGTCACACATACGCTTGAATGGTATATGTAACAAATAAAAAAAGGTGTCCGATGTTGAAAAAGCGGAAACAAAATAAAGTCTTGATTATCCACATTTTGGTAAACGATCTCCACATGTCTGACTAAAATCGCACAGTTCAAGGACGTGTAAACCATGATATATTGTATTTTAATTAGGCCAATATATATATATACGTCTCTGGTTGTACTTATGAATTAAAGAAAAAAAAAGGCATGGTTTTCGAATATTAATAAAAAGAAAATGAAGTACATTTAGCTAAAACCGTTTCTTTGTTGTTGTACAGAAAGAGTAAATTTCAACAATTCCTTTTTTTGAACTTTAAGAAGTGTGTGATAAATTAAACGCCGTCTAACCAGAGACATTTATATATATATACGAATCTGATCTAACAAATTCCATTGGTAAGTTTAACAAACCGGATTATTCTGAAACACTGGTGCGAAGACTTACTGTTACAATAGCTTAAAAAGAAACGTTACCATGATGAACATAAACCAATGTAACTAATTTCGAATTGTTCCATCAGAGACGTATAATACATCTCGTCTCTGGTTCCATCAATTCTTGTGCTGCGTTATAATTCCGGAAATTAATACCGGTTCGTGATAACGGATTAAATTAGAATATGAACTCAAACATTTTTGTGACCTACATCATATCCCATAATTCTTCAAATACAAATCAAAATGGCTGATGACGAGAAGTCCGAACCCAAGATGATGACAATTTCGGTGAAAACGCCGAAAGAAAAGCAAGATATTGAAATCAACACAGAAACATCTGTGAAAGAGGTGAACGAGTTTCTGAATTTTCGAAAATATTCTTGGATATTGTCCCTGTAATCTGTTGGCGGATGCCGACATCTGTCGAACTTCGCTTTTTGTCACCATCTTCGCTGTGTCACTGTTGAACGTTTGACACTCCTTACGTGTATAAACGGTAGAGTGATTAGATAAGTGTGCTCAAATGATGGAATTACTTGAATATTGATTATGTTTGCATCAAACAATGCTATGTCGAAATGTATAAGTAAAAATGGCAAGAAAACAGCTGCTAGTTTTTTTTTACTGTCCCTGGCCTGGGTACCGGTTCGTTCGCCCCTTTCACATGGGCTACATTCGCGTATCCCGGTTGAAACGGTACGTGTGTCGCAGAAATATTCCACGATAAACTAACGCACTTGGGCCGTTCTATAAGAAGAGCTAAGATGCACAGTTTCGGAGAATAAAAAACAATGTATCAAGAATATTATGCCCTTCTTTTACACGTCAACTAAATTACATAACGTATCTTAAAACTACATGTCAAGATCTGTGCCTGATGTTTTCTTTACAGGTTCAACCGGATACACAATATGTCCCCCNNNAGACTTAATCTAGTATTGTTAACATTTATTTAAAGGGTCTGGTCGGGGAAAAAATGTCATATTTGCTAAAATGGCATACACATGTTTAAAATACCTTCTTATGAAACATATCGATTCAAATTTTGCTGAAATTCACATCCCTAAAAGTAAAAATTATAATTAAAGAAATCCTAAATCGTCACCTGACAGTCTTAAACTCTCAATTGACCCAGATCAGTGATGTAATTTTACCGCTTGTGCGTCATCAACAAGGCCAAATGTAAACATCGCAGCGCAAGAAAAAGATGCATGCAAAAGTCATGACAGGCACGAGGTATCAATACCGTTATATAACAAAACAACATATAGGTAGAAATACTACACTTGCATCATACATGACCTTTGAAAACAATTATTTACGTAGAGTATTGCTGTGTTGTCCGCTAGTTGAGTCCGACATGGCTGATATATGGCGTGCTATTGCTGTTATCTTCACTGCCTCACTTTCGAAACAACCACGTGACATATTAATAGATCTGCGCTAAATTTACGCGGGGCTTCCCCGAGATTTCAGTGGTCAAAACTGGACATTGCAAGCAGAACTCGACCATCATATTGCCGTGGTATAACTTTTGGAAGGCCAGAGAACGCATTTAGACCCAGTTATTTTGTATTTTTTCCCCCGACCAGCACCTTTAAGTATAACACCAAATATGGAGGACAAATTTGCAAAGACACCTATAAGGATGAATCGCAGTTTTCATATATACTAGCCTGTTTCAAGGACATTATATTTCACCGATTTTTTATTTTCACCGGAAAAAAGAAACTGTGCATGCCTAAAATGTGTTATAAAAATAAATGTGTATGACGTAGAACAACAAGGTTTTCAGTGAAAAGTTACTTGTTATTAACAGTTGCATTCCATTTTCCACGTTATGGAATCAATAAGTTCCGCTCAGGAGTGATGTAAACACAGCAGGGTTCAATACTGAGTTCACAAAGTTAATACCACGTATGTCCACCGTTTGCCTGAATGCAAGCCTGGCAACGTCGACACATGGAGCCTATAAGACGGTTCAAGAATGCTTGTAGGATGGCATTCCAGATCTGTACCAACGTTGCAGCCAAACCAGTCAACGTCACCGGTTGATTAGGTAATGCCCGTAAACTGCGCTTCATTTCATCCCAGACGTGTTCAATGGGCGACAGATCGGGGATACAGCAGACCAGGGCAACACATCAACGTTCTGCTGGGCCAGAAAGTCCATAGCGACACGAGCTGTGTGTGGCCTGGCGTTGTCCTGCTGTAGCGTAATGCGACGTTGCTACCCTTGCACGAATGGAACAACGTGGGTCCGGAGGATCTTCTCACGGTAACATAGCACGTCCAAATTCCCGTTTACAACCACCAGAGGCGCTCTCCCGTTGGCTGTGATGCCGCCCCAAATCATAACACTGCCTCTGCCGAAAGAACGTTGTTGTACCACACACGCGTCACGGAAACGTTCTCCAACGCGACGATACACTCTGGAACGTTCGTCACTACTATCCAGGTGGACTCGCGACTCGTCTGTAAACAAAATGCCTGCCCAATCCCGTCGAGTAAATGGCAGATGCCTTCTGCACTAGTCCAGACATGCTACACGATGACGTGGCAGAAGAACTGGGCGGATTGCAGGACGTCGCGGATGGATAGCTCGTTCACGCAATCGGTTCCAGGGCTCACACTGTCGGTAGCCAAATTAGCCAATGGCTACTTTTATTTTTTATTGGCTACTAAAAATTTGATGTGGCTACTGAATTGACTACTAAGTTTCTAAAAATGGGGAAACTCTGTATCTTTGTCCCAGAAAACGTTCCGTCTAATCAAGCTCACGTGTGTATTGTGGCTGACACTGATTGCGTAAACATAATCAGGGCCGTCACAAATCAGCGCGCTTTGTACGAGTGCGAGTTAATTAATGCTTTTGTCTAAGTTGTTAAGTCATATCAAGCTTCAGATGGCAACAGGTGTTATAATTTGTGTACATTAATGGACAGTGGGGTTTAGTTAATTGGATGACCCATTGACGTTGAGAAAACAGTCTGATAAGCGAGTCACACATAGGTGGTCTCGCACACGTACATTTGACGGCGCTGTAAGCCGATCTGATAAACTTGTTTAAACACTGCATCAAACAAATTTCTGGGTTCAGTATATTTTAATTAGTATACATGGTATTTATTTACTTTTTCCAGTACCGTAGCAACATAAATACGTCCGATATGCTTGATTAGAAGGTATAAGTATCGCCTTGAAACACCATGTCGAAGTGCTGATTTTAGGCCTTTCAGATCACTTCAAACGATTGGCCTATATCGTATCTGTGTACTTTCATGGTTAGACGTTTTAGAATTTCAAGTGATCGAGAAAAAATATTTAGCATCGCATTTATGCAGTTTTTAGAACAGCAAACCGTTCAGAATGACTTTGACGGTCGCTTGTATTAGGTGCTAATCGACGACACGTGCACGGGAATGGAAAAGTTGCGCGACGTGATGTTGCGATTTATTTCGAAGGATTGGTCAATACCGTTATAAATTCGCCCTTTTCCTTTCAAATATGTTCTACTGCCATTTACATTTGAAATGTGTGATATTTTTAGTTTATTTTAGTTTTTTTTTTACATAAAATATGAATTACGGTTAATGTAAACACAGGAAAAATAATTATCAATATTGCATCACTGAGGCTACTTTTGATTTGGATTTTATTTGTTTGATTCTTTGAAGGCACAGAATTTAAGGCGAATGATATCTTAAAATTTGAACTTTTCAACCTAGATTTTTTCACAATTCCTGTGTCAAGAAAATGAGATAAAGTCTGATTTTTCTCTCTTTTAAAAATAAAATAAAAAAAGTTCTGGTGGAAATTTTCAGCATTTTTAATTTCAGTCATATTTTCTAAAAATAACAGCCATATAATCTGAAAGTATTAAAAATGTATCTAATTATGGATTAAATTGTAAACATGATGTATAACAAAATTTTAATTTAACAGAGTACTCCTTAATTTAACATCATGTTGAATAGTATTGCACTTCAAAAAATATTAAATATTTAATGATTTTAATGTAGGGCCTATCCCTAACTAGTAGACTTAACAGGGGTTGACACTAACACTAGTCCGCTAGTACTGGACTAGTAGACTTAACAGGGGTCGACACTAACACTAGTCTGCTTGTCCTGGACTAGAAGATTTAACAGGGGTCGACATTAACACTAGTCCGCTAGTCCTGGACTAGTAGATTTAACAGGGGTCGACAGTAACACTAGTCCGCTAGTCCGGGACTAGTAGACTTAACAGGGGTCGACACTATCACTAGTCTGCTTGTCCTGGACTAGAAGATTTAACAGGGGTCGACATTAACACTAGTCCGCTAGTCCTGGACTAGTAGACTTAACAGGGGTCAACACTAACACTAGTCTGCTTGTCCTGGACTAGTAGATTTAACAGGGGTCGACAATAACACTAGTCCGTTAGTCCTGGACTAGTAGATTTAACAGGGGTCGACAGTAACACTAGTCCGCTAGTCCTGGACTAGTAGACTTAACAGGGGTTGACACTAACACTAGTCCGCTAGTCCTGGACTAGTAGATTTAACAGGGGTCGACACTTAACACTTGTCCGCTAGTCCTGGACTAGTAGATTTAACAGGAGTCGACACTTAACACTTGTCCGCTAGTCCTGGACAAGTAGATTTAACAGGGGTCGACACTAACACTAGTCCCCAATAGTCCTGGACTAGTAGACTTAACAGGGGTCGACACTAACACTAGTCCGCTAGTCCTGGACTAGTAGATTTAACAGGAGTCGACACTTAACACTTGTCCGCTAGTCCTGGACAAGTAGATTTCAGCAAGGACTAGTGAATCACCTAACCTTACTGGTCATTTGGACTTGTGAAATAATCTGATAATAAAATAAGAATATTCCTTTTTAAAATTTAGAAAACTGCTTAAAACAAGATATATTGCATGATAATTGTCAATGCATCCTAAAACTTCACCATGTTTTTATGGCAGGAGTTATTTTAAGTCCCCTACAGTCATTTACTTTTGATGTTTCGTGCTGTAGATCGCGATGTTTCCTTATGAGGAAATCTTGGACTAGTTACATTGACAAAGGAATAATTAAAATAATCTATTCAACTACCGGTAGTCCAAAACAAGTTGGTGTCGAATCCTGCTTAAGATATCAAATACAGTTATAAGATCACAATCTTTTCCTAATTCATGTCCAGTCATCATATACAAAGCAATCTGGCCAAACCTAATAACAAGAGACATGTCTCATGTATGGTTACTTTTATATAGTGGTATGGTCTGGCTGTGGAAGTGTAGCCCATGTATGGTTACTTTTATATAGTGAGGTGGTCTGGCAGTGGAAGTGTAGCCCATGTATGGTTACTTTTATATAGTGATGTGGTCTGACTGTGGAAGTGTAGCCCATGTATGGTTACTTTTTTATATAGTGATGTGGTCTGACTGTGGAAGTGTAGCCCATGTATGGTAACTTTTATATAGTGATGTGGTCTGGCTGTGGAAGTGTAGCCCATGTATGGTTACTTTTATATAGTTATGTGGTCTGACTGTGGAAGTGTAGCCCATGTATGGTTACTTTTATATAGTGATGTGGTCTGGCTGTGGAAGTGTAGCCCATGCCTGGGCGCACTGTCAAGGATTAATCCAGCTTGTTTAATCAACTACTCTTAGCCCATTTTGAAAATCACCTTAAAATGTATGCGGAGTGAAGTGGTCAACTAAAATGTGTGGTTTGTAATTCATATGCTGAACTATATCAGAACAAAATAATGCCAAAATACTGGAACAGATGGTATTATATTTGTTTACCAGGCAAATTGTTAATATATTCCTGACAATGTTTTCAATTTCTGAATTTATTGTTAGATCTTTTTGGTAATTTTGAATGAAAGAGGGGAAAATATTTCCGTAATTTTAAGAATGGAAATTGGTCAGTTGAATTATCGGTCATAAAACCAGTATGAATACTAGTTTGACTGTGTATTAATATTTAAGTGTGGTGGTAATCCGTAACAGTTCATCAACAATGATCATATACATGTATAAACATTCTCCTTGAATGTTACACAATACAATGACAAACACATAGCTTGTACTGTAGGGCTTCCAGTACACATAAGTATGTTTTATTTAGTAAGGCCAAACAAAAAAAATGTGTTTCCAATTTCTCAACCGACTCTTGATTTGTATGCCTACCCTAAAGATTTTATTGGCATTTAGTGATGTGCACTGTTAAAATCAGAACTCCTGCTCTATATGAGCAAAGTACAGTAAAAATATTAAAAAGAAATTGTCTACCTACACCTCCCCTATTGTTTTGTGAGCAGAAACAGGAAACACACATTTTTTGGGCCTAATTTGATATGTAATTGATACCAGAATCATTATTTAACAGAACTGGAATTGCCTAGCTGATTTATACAGCAGAAAGTGATCACTACACCACCTCCGCTTCCTGAAAAGGGAAGGTTTTCCGCTGCAGTGTCTGTAGTCTGTAACTCTTGACATGAGCATATAGCTTGCTAAATTGATGATATGGATCCAAATACGTCGATACAATTTGCACAAGATCAACTCTGTTGAATCGATATATGAGAAATAAAAGATAATTTATAGATATTATTTATATATAGAGTCAGATTGACAAACGTTCAAAAATAACTCACTGACATAATATAGTGTGTGTAGCCTTAAGTTTGAATTCATTGTTAATGCATTAGAATATGTTTTAATCTCTTTATAGTTTCGAGAAATTGTTGCCAAACAATTCAGTGCGCCCTGTGAGCAGTTGTGTTTAATCTTTGCTGGTAAAATTCTGAAAGACACTGACACATTGGAGCAGCATGGAATTAAGGATGGGTTGACTGTCCACCTCGTCATTAAATCTGCTAACAGGGTAAGGTGACCTGGTCAATCCAGGATAGGGTGGCCACTGTTTATTATTCTGGGTTTTTTTTGGGGGGGGGGGGGGGGGGGGGTATCCTTGAGAGCAGGGATTTTTTAACAGTTTTAATTATTTTGAATTCAGTTGGATGTATCACATGATTGCTTATTATGCAGACTAGTTTCAAAAGAGAGGCATAAATGTTTTGTTTTAACTGTTTATTTTATGAACTTCATAGAATCTTCATAAATACATTTTTAGAGAGGCCATGAGTTTGAATTTAGTTAATATTCTTTGATAACACTTGAGCTGTGTGTGCTAGGAATGCAAACATTGCATTTTTTTTTTTTTGAATACCCCTGACCATCTCTAGTTATGTATAATGAAAAATGTGTGAGCGGACACCGTAACAGCCACTGATCACGCTTGACATTGCTTACTGGAGGGTTTTACTGCGTAGTTGGAGATGCTGGCTTGCCAATAAGGCAGTATATTCCCCTGAACATTACTTACTATAGGGCACGTCCCAGGGTTATATTGCGTAGTTGGAGGTGCTGGCTTGCCAGTAAGGCAGTATATTCTCCTGAACATTACTTACTATAGGGCACGTCCCAGGGTTATA